GCCTGATGGTAAATCTTACTAGTGTTAAAAAACTGATAGCTGTCTTCCTGTTTTTGAGTAAGCCTGCCATTTGTCTCCTCAAATTGTCAGAGCAACAGCCTTAGTTGTCTTTAACTTGAAAAAAAACACATAGCCCCCCTCCCTCCCCCGCTCGTCGCTGGTCACCTGGCTCCTCCGGCTTCATTCATCTCAGGCCAGTAACCGGATCTCCGAACTAAAATAAAAAATAACAACCACCTCTATGGAACCGGTGCGAACCGGGTCAATCCCACCTCTGGACACGACTGAACGAATAAACGACAATGACTCTTTACATTCTTGAACATCACTGTGTGCCACCTCAATGTGGCAAAGCAAACTGCAGATAAAATGAGGCCAGTGTCTAGCGGTGAGAAGATATAATGTAGACATGTTTAAAAACAAAGATGTTTGTTGACTGTGCTTCCATTTTAGGAATAATAATCATGTGTTATCAAGTCAATTCTGATATGGCTACCTTTCTCAGAATTTTCCTGGTACAGAATACTTAGAAGTGGTTTATCATTCCCTTCTTCTGGGGGCACCCTGGGACTGTGGAACTTGCCCAAGGCCACACGGGATGGCTCTTCTTGAGGACTCTCAGTGGAGAATTGAATTCCCAGCCTCTGGTTCCACAGCCAGATACCTAACCCACTGAGCTATCTAACCAGCTGTTACACAAAATATTTGTGTAACTGTGAGGGTTCAATAGTTGCCTCAGGCTTACCAGACACAAATACGGGAGTCTCTTGTTCTTGAAAAACAGAACTCGGGTTTATTGGAACATCAAATAAAGAGGACAATACAATAAACTTGTCACTAGTCTTTTCTCTCGTCAACGAGTCAAACGAGGGTGTCCAGGCTTCTTGTAAGAAGGTGTTGAAACTTGGATCGTACCAAAGTCCCTTGGTAAACCACTTCACCTATTGGAACATCAAATAAAGAGGTATCAACAATAAACTTGTCACTAGTCTTTTCTCTCGTCAACGAGTCAAACGAGGGTGTCCAGGCTTCTTGTAAGAAGGTGTTGAAACTTGGATCGTACCAAAGTCCCTTGGTAAACGGGTTCACTTCACCTGCTACCTTCGCTCCAACGTCTACCTTGATCAAGGGCAGGGTCTCCTCATCTCCCCTCTCCGGGTCGTCGGGGTCACTTCCCTCGGCATAAGGATCCCAGGGTCCGTGATCACCTCCTCCAGCGAGCCTCCTCCAGTCGCCATGCTCTCCTTTCCCTTTCTTCTCTCTCTACTTTTTCCCTTTCCTCTCTCAACCGTCTCCTCCACTCCCTAGCCTCTGCTTCACCCCAGTACGAAGGTCTGGGGTGGTGGTGGTAAACCTCTTCTCCTTCTGTAGTCTGCCTCCTTCTGAGGCACCCTCACCCTCTCACTTCTCCCTGTCCAGGGATCTTCTCCCCAGATCCATTCCCATCCCCCTGGTATCTTGGCTCTCTCCTCCCTCACCTCCCCATGCCCTGCCTCTATTAACGGTCTCACTGCTACCTGGGTTCCCGCCTTTTCTGTCTCCGTCTGTGTAGCCACAGACATCCTCTGTAGCCCCGTTCCAAGTCTCCTGTGTCTACCCCCTGGTGTCTGACCACAACGCGTGAAGTCGGAGATGCTGTCTGTGTCTCTTGTTCTCTCTTAACTGAGGACGACACTCCCGCGAGGACTTCTATTGCCTCGCCTCTGGTCTTACAGTAACCTCTAGCGTTGCTTATGGTGATATGCATGATTATTCATAGAAGATTGGTGAAGCTGAAAAGTGATATTATGTCTACGGGTGAATCTGATCTTCACATAATTCATATAAACTCATTTGAGAACTTCTCATTACCTGTTCCTGTTTGGTAATGCCCAGACAGGCACGCACCTCTCATGTGGCTTATAAACTGGTTAAGTTTATTTACCGCCCCATTTAGCGCTATAGGGTGGTATATAAGCAGCTCACTTTGCTTTTTGTTTTTTTTAAAGGATCTATGACACAAATAAATGTCAGTATCTGTGACATATGAGATGTATTATCTAATTTTTCCATCATACTACTGTGGATGTGAATCTCTGCATGGTAGATTATCAAACTTACAGGCTTCATTAGAGGTCACTTTTCGAGCATGGAAAACATAGTACAATATACTGGCTGCAGTGTACAGACTTTCTTTAGGAGGCCAGAGAGGAGCAGCACGTACTCACAGAGAGAATTGGTGGGTCACATATAGTAATGGGAGAGCAATCTTCAGTTGCTATAAATGACAAGGCTAGGACATCATTACAAGACTCTAATAAGTAGTCCATCAGCTATTTGGATGCCAACACTCCTGCACTCTTCCGAAAGTATTTAACATCTGACCATCTCATTTTAGGATTTTGCATATGTTCTGCTTTTCCTTCAGTAGATATCATTCAGTACCTCTGTTAAGCAAAGAGCAGAGAGGGTTTCTGAGTTTTTCACCAGAATTCTTATTCTGTTGGTATTTCCACATTAGGTTGTGAGATCTCCCTGAACCATAGAAATACAGTATATGCACATTTTTGTTTTTCCCCAAAACTTTTCCTTATGTTAACTACAATAGTCGTCTGCTTACTTTTCAAACTTAGGCAATTTTAACCATGCTCATTTTTGAAATGTGCGTTTGGTTTGGAACACATTATTCCTTCAAAAATGCACAATAAATCCCCCAAAGGCACCGATTGTTCAAATCAAGAAGAGTTCTGTTAAGAGTACTGGGAGAAGTAAAATGTGTACTTCCATATGGAAATATGAATCTAGTTAATTTCTTTCTCATCCCTTGCAACAGATACATGGATGCAAAGTAATTTTAAAAAAGGAAAAGACAAACGTTTTCCGCAAGAGATCTGGCACAGCACAAACAGGGCAACCAACATACTGCTGGGAAATATCTTTTTAGAATAAAGCATTGTATAAGCTTCAGGTTTATTCCTTTTTACCTTGCCATGAATGCAGGAACTTGAAAAACAAACTTAGCTTGCAGGGATAAGTTGCTATCTATAGCAATAAGAAAGAAACAGCAGAATGGAAGAAATGTAGTGTCGTCATCATGCAGCTAGTTAGTCTAATAAAAATATAGTAAACTTAAATACACCAAAATAATAGGATTCTACACATTACTGAGAGCCAGTGTGTACAGTGGATAAGCACAGTGTCAGACTGAGGCTCATGAAAACTGTGTTTAGACCATCTCTTAGCCATGAAAACTCACTGAGGAGCAACTATGGTAAAATCATTGCTTAAGCATACCTAGAAAACCCTATTAGAGTCACAGTAGGTCAGATGCTATAAAACTCACTGAGGAGCAACTATGGTAAAACCATTGCGTAAGCATACTGTACCTAGAAAACCCTATTAGAGTCACAATAGGTCAGATGCTACTTGAATGCACATAACATATATGACGTCATGGGGATGGGATAAATGGCCATCTGAGGAAGTCCAAGATACCAGACTGGGATGCTAGGAGGGCTGCATTCACTCCCATGACCTATGCTTCCCCCCCTCCTGCTCCATGCCATCTTCCTAGTTAGCCATAAACACTGATTGCCAGGTGCAAGGTAAGGGGTACATAGATACAGAACACGGTAGGGATTTAAGATGTCAAAACAGAAAAACCAGGTTCTTTTTCTACCTCCAGCCCTGTTCTCCAGTTCAACTGGTATAATCTGCTACAAATCCATTTATGGTTTAGGACAATGGCCTGTGCAACCCCATTAAAAATCCAACTAAGACAGCTGTCTCAGCAATATGGTTATCTGAACAATTCCAGAGAAGTGCTCTTTTACACGTACACAGCCCACATTTTTATGTTTCCTAAGCAGAACACATCTGAACAAACACCCAGGAAATCAACAAAGCTCACCATATTTAATAAATGATGACTGATTTGCTTGGACATAAATGCATCTAAAATTAATGTCAACTATTTGCTTTGCTAACCTTGCTTCTAACAAAAATACCTGCACAGAAGAAAATTGCAATAATTACAAACAAAAAAAAAGTCAAGTTCCTTTTACATCCTAATATAGAAATAAAATGGTTTTATTACTGTGTTGGATAATGTGGTTATCATTCTTTCTCATTGCCAAATGAATAATGTATTATATTCTAGCTATGAAGAGCCTGACTTAATACTCTCTGTAACACACAGTATATCCTGACTATCATTATGATTTAGTCACACTGCCCGGTATTAAACTTATACAAAGAGCATTCAGTTGACAGAACAGTAGTTAAAGACAATCAATACAAAACTTTTATCTGATCACCGATATGCACCACTGTTTCCTGGAACTTCCCAAGACAGTCTCACATCAGCAGGAAAGTATACAAAGTCTGTCAGCATACAATTCCGTTTAAAATAAGACCTGTTCAAGAAGACTTGGGAATTATGCCTTGGCATGACTCTGAATACTATTGGCTGGGATCAGAAAAATCTTGCATATTTTGCTTTGCTTCAGCTATTTTCCCTGTCTGCTCATAAAGATATATTCTCTAGCTTACTTCCTTTAAAAAATTTTCTCAGAAATCCAAACATAACTGAACATGACTGGAAACATGGACATGGTACAAATTTGGAGTTTTCACGAGTGTAATTTATTCATAGTAAAGCAGACTTACCTTCTTGTAGGCACACAGGTTTATCACTTGGCTTCCAGCCTAAGGAACCATTAAAATGTCTCTCACAAAGCTTTTTGAAGGGACCCTTAAGCCTGTATCCTTCTTGGCAGTGAAATCGAACTACCGAACTTTCAAAGAAAACACCTGCGCTGGGCATCTTATATCCATATTCAGGGAACCCAGGATCAGCACAAGCATGGAGTTCATCAAAACCTGCATCAACAAAGAGAATACTGATGTTCAGTCAAATGTCTTCAGTTGTACTTCTCATCTCAAACATCAGATTAAGGCTGGTGTACAGATTTAATTACTCGGACAGTTTCAGAAACTGAGGAGTGGGAACTGAAACAAAATGTTGCAGATGATTTGGGCCTTTGTGCTCACTTTCTGTTTCACCAGGCACAGTCTCCTCACCCTGTTTAATCCCATCTCCAGTCATTAGGCACTACTGCATTTCATATGCTGTCTAGCTAGCTAAAACGGTCTGCCTTCAAGTACTGCTCCGTGTAGTTAACAGCAGGAAAATAAAAGGAACAATCAAAAAGATAAAGACAAGGAGATAAAATGCGGTAGTGAAACCAATAAAAACAGCAGCCAGTTGAACAAACTGTAGAATAATTACATAGTCATAAAAAGTATGTACAGTATCTATCAATTCAAAGGGCAGTCTAAATAAAACTGTCTTTCACCAAGTAAAGGTCACTTGAGCAAAGCATTCATATGTATTCCTTAGCAAACTACCAAGGAGCAGTCACTAAGAAGGACCTCTCTGAAGTTCCTGTCAAAAGTTTTCAGATACTGGCAAACCAAAAAGAGTTTCTCCCAAAGACTTTTTGAAACCTTGGGAGGCTTCTATGAAATACTGCCCTTCTTAAGCCTCCCCCTTTAAAGCCCATATCTCTCCCACAAACACTTACACTAGGCCTCAAAATTTCCATCTCAAATCTAGAAAGTCCGTCCCCACACTCACAGCTTAATGCTTCCACTTCACAACCTGTTCGTACCCAAATCTCTGTCTCCTAATGCACCCATGTTTGTGTTCCAATCGTATGTACACAAGAGCTTTCTCTGCCTCCTGTTCCATTCTGAAATAATTAGGTTACCTACCTGTAACTTTGGTTCTTCTAGTGGTACTCTGTGAATTTACATACAGTGGTGCCTCGCTTAGAGATTGCCTCGTTTAACGATGTATTCGCTTAGCGATGAGGTTT